CCATGACTTTGTTTGTTTGTTTGTTTTTTGTTGTTGTTTTGTTAACTCTGGATTTGAAACTGACTTGGAATTTAGCTCCCTCTTGGACCCATCTAGGATCTACCCCTCAGGCCTTAGGTGACTCCCACATCAATGAGGAGGGATGAAGGGCCACTCAGTGACACGGCCGGTGGTCCATCCCTCCCAACCTAGCAAGCAGCAGACTTTGAGCAGAAAGCCCTTGCTGTGAGTCGTTTCTGGGGATGTTTGGTTGGCATAGACACGTCATCTTGGAAAGAGGTTGTATAAATATTTCCCCAGCAGCCCTGGTTGCAGGATGGAAAGTGGTTCGATATGCTGTCCTCCCTGTCTTCTGAGAGAGCCCCCCTCTCCTGACTTCTGTGTTCCGAGAAGGCTGACTGGAGAAAAATCATTGTATCTAGGGAGAAAGGGGGGAAATCTTAGAGGGAAGCCAGAATCTTGGGAAAGCCTGAGCTGTAGTATGAGTCCCCAAAGGTGTGGATTCCAGTTGATAATGCTGTCCCCACAGTCCTAGTCAGGACAGGCAGAGGCTGCAGTCTCCCCTTTGGGATACTGGCCGAAGGGTACTGAGATAAGTGCAGAACGGGCCCAGGCTGGGAGACTGAACTGGGTTAGGTTTCAACAGGGAAGGTATTTCTCAGATAAAATTGTTAGATAAATACTTAGCTCTGACCAGGATTCATTTCACCTGCAAGCAGCCATTCATGTGCAGGTTGCTTGGTGAAATCAGTGCAATCAGAGATCTCCAGAATTCCTAAACCACCCAAACCCCCAGACCTGTTTGTGTAATTTTGTAAAACTTGTCCAATGTGCCTGCCTATGGTTTTCATATATGGATCCATAAAATGACATTTGTCTTCTGGTGATATATTGTGGGCCAAATTCAGGATTAATTTTCTTTCAAACAGTTGCTTGCCAACATTTTTTAAAACAATGTAGCAATCATACCTTCTACACACTGAGTCATAGATTACAACCGGTCCTTCTCCACTCATTACCTAACATTCATCTTTAGGTTATTTTACTGTGGGTTTCTTGAGGCCCTCTCAAGTCCCATGACCAATTTGCCGTGTGGATAGGGATTTTGTTTTGTATTTCCAGTCCCCGGCATAGTAAAGTGCATTTTTTTCTATGTGGTGGATAAATGACTCCGGGGGCCTAGTGTCTTAGTTGGGGTTTCTATTGCTGTGATAAAATACCATACTAAAAACAACCAAGGGAGGAAGGTTTTGTGTCTCTTTACAGCTCAAGAGTCACTCTCTCTCCCTGAGTGAATTCAGGGCAGGAACTCAAAGGCATAACCTAGAAAGAGGCTCTGAAGCATATACCATAGATAAATGCTGTTTTTTTAGCCTCTTGTACCCCTTGGCTTGCTCAGTTTGCTTTCTCTTATACCCAGGACCATCTGCCCAGGAATGGGTCTGTCCACAGTGAACTGGATTCTCCTAGATCAATTATTCATCACGAAAATGCTCCTACTGACTTCATATTTTTTCAGCTGTGGTTTTCTCTTCCGAGATAACTCTAAGTTATGGCAAATTAACAAACACCTAGCATTCCTACTGTTCTGACTGTACTCATAAACCCTGTTGTGTCTGCTTGAGTTTGCATGAAAGATTAAAGCAGTGGCCGGATAAAAGGCGCTCTCTCTCTCTCTCTCTCTCNATATACACACACACATATATATATACATATATATATATACACATATACTGTTTTTCCACATAACTTGAATTCAAATCTCAGTACATACACCAGGCAGCTCGCCACCAGTTGTAATTTCACCTCCGGAGGATCTGACATTTCTGGTCTCTGCAACACCTATACTCAAATGTGTACACACACACACACACACACACACATCCACACACCCACCCATCCACACACACTTTTAAAATAACAAAAATAAATTTCTTTTCAGAAGAATGTTAGTCCCTGAAGGATGAGGACCCAAGCTACAGGTTGTACAACTGGCCAATGACTGAATCATAATTTCCTTTTATATTTGCTAACTCAGAAATGAAAGATGCTTTAATTAGCAGTGGCTAAGGAAATAAATATTCTTACATTGAACAGACAAAAAGCACATTTTCCTTCAGAATTTATTCTATAATTCGAATCACTCTTTCTGCAGGAGCTCCTGTGTAACTGGGATTTAGAGGTCTCTTGTGACCACTCTCCTCTTTTGTGAGTGGCTCTATGTAAACTTCCCTGAGCTGCCAAAGGCTGCTCCGAGTAAGACACGAGGAGGAAGTACTGGGGTCCAGTCTCAGGCAGGATCCATGGAGGCTGTCTAGACCGAGCTATTGTGCACGGGTTCTGTGGATGAAGAATCTGTTTCCTCTCTCTGGTGCAATGTCTCTGGGCTCTACTACCAGGTAAACATACGAATCACCAATGGCTGAGTGACTCACACTAGTATATATGGGGAGTAACTGGGTAATTTTTAATTGAGGTGACACCACTGGGACTTCCATGACCATGGGAATGTCCTTATAGTCCTCAATTTTTCTGCTAATAAAGAAAAACCCAATGCAGGGAGTAGTTTCTTTCTTTTTTTAAAAAAAATATTTATTTATTATGTATACAATATTCTGTCTGTGTGTATGTCTGCAGGCCAGAAGAGGGCACCAGACCTCATTACAGATCTTTGTGAGGCACCATGTGGTTAGGACCTTTGGAAGAGCAGACAATGCTCTTAACCACTGAGCCATCTCTCCAGCCCCAGGGAGTAGTTTCAATGGCAATAGGAGAAACTGCCTCCTGGCCACCAGTGATCTACACACAAAACCTTTTGCCACCTACCCATACACTTAACCATCAATTGCAGGGCAGTTTCCTTTCTTTTTTCCTCTCTCCTTTCCCTTTTCCCTGTGCCTCTGCCCCTTTCTCTGCCCTCTCCAGAATCCTCCAGGGTACCCAGCAGTGGCTCCACTCCTTCCTCTACTTATCTTTCTGCAGCTTTGGATGTGTGCTCTTCTGCTTCCTGATGCGGAAGTTCCCAATCTAAGGACTAAATTCCTCAAATGTTCAAAGGTCTAAGTCCCAAGTCCCAAAGCATGGGGCTTCTGTCCTGTCAGTCATTCTTTAAAAAAAGAAAATCTAAATTGTGGGGAAAACTAGGGCAGTGCTCTCAACCTTCCTAATGCTGCGACTCTTTAACACAGTTCCTCATGTGGTGACCCCCAGCCACTAATTTATTTTCGCTGCTAGTACTTCATAACTGAAGTTTTGCTACTGTTGTGAATCGTAATGTAAAGCTCTGATATGCAGACTATCTGATATGGGACCGCTGGGAAAGGGTTGTTCAACCTCCAGAGAGGTCACAACCCACAGACTGAGAGCTGCTGTTCTAAGGAGAAAACAAACTAATATAACAAAGTGGCAACCATTCAAGAGAGTACGGCATGGCTTGGGGTTCCTTCCCAATGCGTCTGGAACTAGAGCTTTGTCTGTGTTCACAGAATTTAAAGATGCTCATTTGAAACCAGCAAGCCTTCCACCTCTGCTGTTGGCTGAGGCAGTTAGAACCATGACCTTTCTCAACACTTTATACCGACAGTACATAGCTTGAGGCCTGCTACTGTCTGGATCTCAAAAAATTCATATATTGAAAATTAATCATCAATTCAACAGTATTAAGGAAAAGGGTCCTTTGGAGAATAAGTCAAAATGTTCAGCTATCCCCTGTGAATTAGTGCTCTTACAAAAAGCCTGGCTGGGGCTCTGCTCGGTCCTCATTGGCTTTCCTGCCCTGTCCACCAATTGAGAACAGCATGTTCTTGTCTTTGGAAAAAGTTACCAAGATGCCATCACGATAAAAAGCAGAGCCCTCACCCAGACACCAACCCTAATGACACCTTGTTCTTGGATTTTTTCAACCTCTAGAACTGTGAGAGCAAAGTTCTGGTTTTTAAAATTGCTCAGGCTTAGGTATCTTATTACAACAGAACAAGCGGCCTAAGACACAGGCCAAAGTATCTGCAAGCTGAAAACGTCATTAGGATTCTTGCTAGTTGCCACATTACCTTAAGATAGTAACTGCTAACAGGTTGCTGTGGTTTGGAGGTTAACCGCCCCCCCTCCCCCCCCCGCCAAGTACAAGCATGTTAAAGGCATTGGCCACTAGTCTGTAGTTGCTGGAAAGTTGTGCAACCTTTAGAAGGTGAGGTGTAGGACATTATACCACTGGGGCATATCCTTAAAGGAGATATTGGGCTCCTGACGCCTGCTGCTTTTCACTTTGCTTCCCAACTACTAGGAATCAAACAGCTTTGCTCCTGTGGGAAGGGTCTGGGAAGACTGCAAGCTAACAAGGCCTATGTGGAGTGATGGGTGGGCTATGCACAGGGAGAGACAGGGCAAAGCGATTCATTCCCTCCTCTAGACCACAAAGAATAGTGGAAGAACCAAAGTACTAACTGGACAAACTACAGCCACCAGACCTCACTTTTCTGCTACCCAGTTACGACACAGAGGGTGATATACAACACTGCAGGGGAGTGGTGAGGCAGTGTGCCTCACTGGGGACTTAAGTATAGCCTAATTACACACACTCTGGGAGCCTGAGGGAAACTGCGATGGGGCGTTGTCATATACATACCAGAGAGCTCAGCTTCTCCTGCAGCTGCTGGTCCCCACTGTCCATCCAGTCTTCCACGGCTGTGTGTATTCCCCTCTATTATTCCTGGCTTTCCTTCCACACTCCTGACTAGTCCCCTAGTGGGTATAACCTAGCTAAGCTACTCCCCAAAAGCTTAGGAGCATTTCATATACCGTCTCTGAGGGGAAGCTAGAACCTTCATCATATTGTATTTACAGCCCCGGGCACTTAATGAGAGGTCGGTGAATGAGTCAACACGTGAAAACACATCCATAACAGGGGAAACAGAGAAAATAATGAAACTCACTTTTGCATTCAACAAGTATTTATTAACACAAAAGCGAATAAGGCTTGTCCCTCTGCTCGCAGGACCTGATGCAGAGAGGCAGACAATCACAAGGCTACAGTAGAATCACAGTTGAAGTACTATTCATCGAGGTGTAGACAAAGTAGTTTGGAGGCACAATAGGAGAGACGGGGGCGATTATCTAATCTATGCCTGCATAGGGGATCCAGGGAAGGCTCCGGAGAAGTCATCTGTGAGTTGGTCTCGAAGGAATGACGTCCCCAGGTGTATAAGAAAGGATCCTTGCAGGCTGGGATTATATTGATCTAGGTGAGGCTAGGCAAGTGAGGGACTCAGGAAATCAGGAATGGGGATGGGGTGGGTGTGACGAGGAAGGAGTTAGCAGGGCTGCTCAAACACAAAGCCACAGTTCTACTGTAGAAATTAAGGATCGTGTTTCCCCATGAGGCAAAAGACTGGAAGCAGAGAGGGTAGGTGTTTCTCAGACACGGGTCTCTGCCACTTTCTCAGTCAGAGCATGGGTCTGAAACATCAAAAGCCAGAACTTCACAGTTATGATCTAATTTCTCTAAGCCACAAAATTACTAAAAGCTTCCTTTCAGAAGCTAAGTATGTATATGAATAATTACTTCTAAATGGGAAAAATCTTGATGTCATCACTTTTTCCAATATAGTTAATTCTGCATTCACAAAAAACTAAAAAAATACATATGTTCACAAACCATTTTTGTCTTATCATTACTCTCTTTCATTTATATATTTTATATCCATCTATATTTCAATATACTTAAGTACAAAATAAAATTTTCAACTTTCAAGTAATTCTTATTTACATGTCTTTCAGTTGTCAATTTGTTTGCGAATATTCTTTTTAAACTTAAAATTTGTTTCTATAATGAAATCTCTGTAGTTGAATTTATATAAGGTTCTCTTAATATTTGAAATGTTTAGTTTTTGAAATCTTTGAAACCAAATTTCTGTTTCCCTGAATTGTTCTAAACTTTCTTCTTTTAAATCACTTTATCTGTTTTGAACTTAAAATTTCATTTCATTCTATATTTTGACATTTTGAAACTATTATAGGCATGCTTCTGTAAATTTTCATTTTGCAATGCATATATTTTATGCTTTACATTTTTAGAATCTATGCATTTTTCACTTTAAACATTGAGTTTTTAAAAAGTTTTTTTACTATTTTTAAATTAAAGTGTTTCAATAACTACCTTATAAATTTTCATATTTCATCTTAAATTGTAAGAATTTCTAAATACTCTATTTTCACATACTAACAATTTGGAATCATTTTAAATTAAAAACATTTAAAAATATTTCTTCTAAAATACTTAACTTAAAATTTTGACATTTAAAATGCTCTCTTAAAACTCTCAAAAGTGTTTTTAACGTTTCTCTTTTAAAGCTTTAAAGTTTTTCTTTAAAATATTTGGTTTTTCAGACTATTTGTGCACTCATAACTAGAACTACAATCAATTAAAAACCCCTTTTCTAAAAGACACCCCCACACTTAACACATTATCTTTGAAGAAACAAGAAGCACATAAAAATTTCAGATTATCTGCACCTCCCTCCACCTCGAGACTTCATTTAATATGCTTTGTGACCCCTTTCAACCTTTCCTCCCCTCCTCCCAGTTCTTAAGGCGAAATGGTCACTGGTCAACGGTTTCTTTCCATAGACCTATGGAACAGGATAAAATAGTTTCTTTATGCCAAAGTGTTACTTGTCATATAGGTGTTATGGTCACTGTCTACTCCAGGTGGATTTGTGTGTTTCTTTTAGAGGTGCTTGCTGTTGTGAAAGCATTCCAATTGTCCATTCCAGGTAGGCTTGTCTATCACTGCAGGATTCTTGCTTAGTTTTTCTGAAAAGCATTCTGGATGAGATCATTCTTTCTCTATATCCTGCCTCTGATAGAACAGTAAATACCCTTCACTATAGAGTAACTCTTCCATTGTGGCCTTGGTGACAACGGCATCATTACAGCTAAACCACTGGTCTTTCTGCTGACGTATGAAGCTGGTATAATGGCCACTTTCCAGAGTTCCATGGTGGTTAATCACTGCAAACAAAGAATACTTATTCTCACTGGGCACAGACTCTGCTAATGGCTGGCCTTTCATTATGCTTTCTTTAGTAGAAGCCAGAAAGGGTGTCATGTCCAGCTCCAAAGGAAATGAGATAAAAGTATTAATCTTGCGTCTCTGTTTGCCTAAATGTTCAAATCGTTTCAGATGAAAACAGGCCACGATCGGTAATTTCTTCATTGTAAGCTGTTTGGTAGATTCCTGGTAGCTTTGGCAGTGACTGCATTTAATTTTGGCACTGCTTCCCAGGTCCTCTGGCCTTGTAAACCACTGGAGGCAATCTGTAAGTGAGGGAACTCCTGGTTTGGGGCCATTCCTACTCGCTGTGCTACTAGCCCTGTCTGAGGTATAAGAGCCAGGCAAATCCAAACTGATGTCCCAACATGGGTCGATAGTTGTAGAGACACCATGACAAACTTGACATGTTAAATCTGACTGCAAGCCACCTGTAAAGATCTGGTCTATGATGCAATTACAGCAGTTGGCGTTACCTTCCTGCTCGATGCTATCATCTTTGCTGTGTCTATGCAGCACGTCTAACATTGCAATAAGAAACTCATGGGCATCCTGCTGTCTGTACCCAGCTAGATGTTCAGCATGAATCCAAATCAGGTGCAGCAGTTTATACGGAATATGAGGACTCTGGCTGCCCGAGTACATCGCTTGAAAAAGCGAGCACATTTCACAGACCAAGCATAAGCTGGGGCTTGTCATTGTACACTTGTGCTTGTCAGAAAGGAAGAAATCTTTCAGTAGTGGAGTATGGGTAAGCGCCTGGACAATACAATTCATAAAGCAAGTGTTCCCAAGATTAATTAACCCTCTGAGGCCTACGGTATAATATTCTGTCTTTTTCCTCCTCTTTTTCTTGGGTTTTACCACTGTGGTATCCTGATCTTTCGACTCACTGGTTGATTGATTTTCTTCAGCCTCCGAGGTCATACTCTGTTGAGAGGAAACATCTAGCGCGGTGGAAGTTAGCAGTCCCAGAATTTTCTCCTTTGTTTCTTTGGCAATCTGCTCTATGTCACTGTCATATACATAATCCTTACACATAAAGCAATATATAACGCCATGATAGAGGTCGACTGCTAAATTGTGTTGCTTTGTCTCTGCGTGGATATGGATATGCTTCTCAGTAAAGCATCCAAAATACACGCAGGAGAGACAGGAGTGAAGTCTGTTCTTATGAGTATTACACACACGACATATGCAGGACTTTGCCTTACGTTTTCTAGTCTCCGGTGTCCCGCTCCAAATGAAACGCTGATAGATCATTCGCAGGTTCTTCTGCCAGTTTTTAGCTACTTTTAAGCTTTCTATATGTGAGCAGCCTGTGGGACCCTTATCAGACCCCACCTCCAGCAACCTGTTCTCTGAGCCCTCTGGATCCCCAGAACAGCCTTGGCCATTAGAGCAGGTTTTGCGTGTTTGGGGTCTAGGTCTGGGCCTGGATATACGCCTGGATTTGCGCCAGGCCACCGGCCGCGTCGGGGGCGGGGGTGGAGGTGGCGGCGCTGGCGGGGGAGGCGGAGGTTTGGCGGGAGGCGGGGGTGGGGCCTTGAGCCCACGCCCTCCCCGGGAGCGGGACCTGGGCTGGGGCCGAGGGCGGGGCTTGCGGCGCGGGCAAACCGAGCTGGTGTGACAAGCAGCCTGGCTGGAAGGGAGCACCTTCTCCTCGTTGCCACTGCCCCTCCTTGTTAAGTTCTCCGACAAGGGCTTGGGCTCCGGCCACGGCTCCGGCTGCATCTCCTGGGCTCCCTGTGTACCCCGCATCGTCTGCTCCATTCTCGCTGCTTTCTCTGCCTCCTGCTCCAAACAGGCTCCTCGACCTGCTCCCGAACTCCAACTGGCGACGGAGCGGGAGGACCGGGACGCCTCTCGAACGTGGGCCATCGGCTCACTCCCAAGCCTGGGAAGAAACGCGTCTGGAAATGAGCTCTGATTGTGGGTGGAGGGAGACAGGAACTCGTGTGGACGGCCAGCCCGGCGTCATGGCCGCGGCGCCGTTAGCCTCAGCCCCTCCCCCTGCCGCGAGCCCCGCGGGCGGCCGCGGCTCCGCCCCTGCACCGGGACTCGCGTGGCGTGCCGAGCCCGCGGCTACCTGCTCCAAAGGCCGCCCGAACTGCGGGTACGGGGGAGGGGGAAGGGGGACTGGCCTGAGCTTTAGGGTGGAAAGGATGGCAACTCTTTATAAAAGGCATAACCCTCTGTCTTTTTCGGCGCTCTGTGCAGCCTCGCTTTGGTGCACCTTTCCCTATGTTCTTTCCTTGCATCTTTAAAACCCTTGAGTCAACAATATATGTTAAATATGGCTGAAAGGAGGTTATCTTTTGAAAAACTGACTCAGTAGAAGAAAGTGTCCCCTGGCTCCTTTCTTACCTATGCTTCAGCCTCTACTCCTAAGCGCACTTGCTGTATGCCACGCTCTAGCGCCCTCTCTTGCTCTTTCGTTCCTGTGTCCTCACACCCCATTTCTTGCTCCTGTCCTCTCATTTCCTAGGGTTTCCCCTAGAATTCAGACTCCCGTCACGCATGACCACCCCCATCCACAGTGCGCGACCCCCAAAATGCCTGCTCCTTCCCCGAACCTCAGCAGCTTCCCCAGCCCGCCGATTTGTAAAAAGGTTTGGGTTGTTACCTGGGGCCCCAAGGCGCTTGATGTAGAAAGTCAGCTGCTGCTGCTGTCCAGGCGCTTCTCTGCCAGTCTTCTCTCTGACCTCTCCTCAGGGCTGGTCACAAGGGGGCCGCCCCCTGGCCCCTCCCATCTCCACGTATGGGCCCCCAGCCCCGGATTCAGGCCTCCAGCAGTGATGAATGGCACCGCTGTCCCCCTAGGCAGAAAAACCCCTTCCTGAAAGGGATTCTACCAGAGGTAACAACAGCCGCAGATTTTAGAGAAAGATCTTGGACAGACTCAGGCTTCACCTGGCTATGGCAATCTCTACAGGAAAAAAAAATAGGAAAAAAAAAAAAAAGAAAAGAAAAAAACTAAAACAACAACAACAACAAAAAACTAACCAAGGTGGGGTTAAGGATTTACCAAGATGGCAAATTCTACAGTATTCCGTCCGGAATCTTTAAGATTCAGATCTCAAGAGTAAAGTGGAGAGGTTATTATTCCTGAGAGTGGAGGAGAGGAAAAAAAAAAAAAGCACATGATTCAGGCTGAAATAGACCTCAGCCCAGCAACTTGCTGCTTCTACAGGGAAAAATCATAAACACTTTGAGCCTCAGTTCATTGGTCAAAGACAGAATGATCCTAACGTGTTTTCACAGAGTGGCAGCGTAGCCGTTCTTCCTGCCATCCTTACCATTCGCCATCCTAGTATTCGGTGTTCAGGTTAAACCAGTAGATACGCAGTGCCTGGCGTCAGCACACTTGAAAACACTGCGGCGGGTGAATGTGTAAAGAACCCCCTGAACAGGGTGCTCTGCCTGGATAGATCCAGACAGCTTTCCCGCAGAGCTGATCCCAGAAATATTTTATCTATCTGTCTTCATTGTATTTCCACATACAGTGGTGCAACAAGTATCTTAGATGTATGCTGATAAAGGAAGCACTGGAATCAGGAAAATGTCTGTCTAGCTATTTGCTACATCGTTTCAGAATCTGAAAAATACCTTCCCTGTTGAAACCTAACCCAGTTCAGTCTCCCAGCCTGGGCCCGTTCTGCACTTATCTCAGTACCCTTCGGCCAGTATCCCAAAGGGGAGACTGCAGCCTCTGCCTGTCCTGACTAGGACTGTGGGGACAGCATTATCAACTGGAATCCACACCTTTGGGGACTCATACTACAGCTCAGGCTTTCCCAAGATTCTGGCTTCCCTCTAAGATTTCCCCCTTTCTCCCTAGATACAATGATTTTTCTCCAGTCAGCCTTCTCGGAACACAGAAGTCAGGAGAGGGGGGCTCTCTCAGAAGACAGGGAGGACAGCATATCGAACCACTTTCCATCCTGCAACCAGGGCTGCTGGGGAAATATTTATACAACCTCTTTCCAAGATGACGTGTCTATGCCAACCAAACATCCCCAGAAACGACTCACAGCAAGGGCTTTCTGCTCAAAGTCTGCTGCTTGCTAGGTTGGGAGGGATGGACCACCGGCCGTGTCACTGAGTGGCCCTTCATCCCTCCTCATTGATGTGGGAGTTACTGTCTTCATCTGAAAAGCAGGCTGCCGTTGGGACTTATGCCAACCCCCCAGTTTGTGTGTGTGTGTGACTGTGTGAGTGTGTGTTTTGAAACGGTGAAGTCTCATTCAGCATTCACTTTTGCTTGCCCAATGCTCTTATCTAGGCCATGTTAGACTGATTCCTTGAATCACTGCAATGTAACTTCATCAAACTAAATGTCCTCTCCATAAAAGGTGATGTGTGTAGGGACGATTTTACTTCAAATGGCAACATGGTTTAGATGTGCGGACATTGGTAGCCAGGTCTCCAGAAATGCCATCACTTTCTGTGGCTGAGGCTTGCTGTATCAGTTAAATAAGGGCTTTGGATCAATGAATCTTTACTATCTGCTGGCCGTGGATAAAATGCACATACCATTTGAAACTGCATGCAGAGCATTGTACATCAGTTATATGAAGCCATCCTTTCTGAGGGAAGTGGGTTTTTGAAGCTTCTGGGTAATTTAAACTTGTAAAATAAAAGTTGGGGCCCACAGAAATTCTGCTGTTGCTATAGGAGTGAAGACTGTTTCACTTGGCTGATTTGGGGAGGTGGTTTTCCTTCCTTGAAGACTGAAGCTGTCTGATTTGAAGACATGAGTTATTTTTGCCTCATGAATTTTCATTGCCATTGTACATGTAAACAGGGGGTAAGTGAGGTACAGTCCAGGGCCCTGTGTGACTCTTCAGAAATCCTCACCTGTTTTAGGAGAAAGAACTGGGAAATCTGTGGCTTACTGTCAGCTTCCTGCGCATTCTGACCTTGAGTACTTCCAACCAGTAAAGCCATCCTTCTTGTCCCATATTCAAAATATCACCACACAGGCAGCCTGACATTTCAACATCTTTTCCGTGGACAGCAACAATGGCTGCCACCACTTAGTCCTATGTCCCAGTACTAACTTGGTGGCTACATAGAGTGAAGAAAGCAAGCAGTGGCGATGTTCTTCCCCTGTGTGCGTCTCAGAATGGCAGTTAAGTGAGTCTTGTTCCTTTTCAATGGTGCATAAAACACAAGGTGGGCATTGTGTTGAGCGGAGCAGATCTTCCTATGCTCTGTAACGGGGAGTTGCAGAATGAATGGAAACAGACAGTTTTACATTGGCCCTGTCTTTTCAGTGTGCAGATGGATGAGAAAAGTCATACTTGCTTAAAGACAAAGACTCAAGGATCCTCTCTCTTGGTTCTTTCTTTGAGGAAGATGGCATTCTATATGTCCTAAGCTGTCCTTGAACTCACAGTCCTCCTGCCTCTCTATCTATGTGTTGGGGTGATAGGTGTACAGGCTTATGCCTAGCAATCCTTTGCTTCCTGTGTTCCTGGTTTCATTAAAGTCTTTAGAGAAATGAAAAATGTCACCTTCCAGGATGAATGGCCTAAGCTATGGGGACAATTGTTGGTGTGACTCAATTGAATTGATGGATGTTGCAGGTGCAGGGTATTCTGGGAAACACCACTCTCTCTGGCAGGCAACCCTGTACCGTAGAGATTCAAATCATGGCCTGTGACCACAAACTCTCGTTTTAATCTTCTGATTCAGCAAGGCAGATTTTGCTTTTTCCCACAGACCAGTTGTAGAAAAGAAACAACCTAGGATTTTGGATCAGTGTGACAAGTGTATGATCACTCAGAGGCCTCTGCTTTCAGTGGGACTATGGTGTCTCACAGGGGGAGATTATTGACCCTCATCCCCTCTGCACCATACCTGACCCAAAGTTTTTGCTGTTTCTATCTGTGATATATTTCGTGGGAGTAGGAGGAAGTGGTCATGGAAAACAGGACGGTCCTCTCTACCTCTCAGTATTCTTCATTAGAATTGATGGCATTGCCTGCCTATGTATGTTTCTCTAATGCCCCCCCCCTTTGGTGTGTGCATGAAATATGAGTTGACCTACTGTGCATGAGCTGGATGCTAGAAGGAACAAGTGTCCTGCGTGTCAGGTTTTGACCCTGTATTATATGCTCTGGACCTGCCTTGTCTACCACCCCACCTCACAGTGTCCTAGTGACTGAAGACTTGAAGTCCTTCCACCTGCTGGTTGAATCCATCAGGCCCGTGTAGACAGAATGTGGTGGAGTTCAAGGGCCTCTTGCAAATACTTGTGCATATGTGCTTGAGCAAGCTGTATTGTTTCCAATGTTTCTGCAACTGGGTGGGATGTGCTCCTATGCCTGTGTTTACAACTGAGGAATTTGTAAAGGGGGAAACTCAAAAACATGGAAAACTGTTTTTGAGGTCCTATTGGCCATACATAACATATGTTCAATGTGTAAAAGGGAGTGGATATGTTTCCATATGCCTGTTGCTTTCTTTCTTCATGTGCATGTATAATATTCATATGTGTGAGCTTAAGGTTAGAATGTGATTTTTTTGAATTCAGAAATTTGCTTACTGACATTTATTAAAGATTAACAAAGACGTTCAAATTCTCTGCTTATTGTTGTATGCAGTTTGTATAGTGAAGTAGTCGATAGGGAATGAATCTGAATATAACTCTTCCTTTCCCACAAAGGAGAGTTTTGATCCCCGCTTCTTAAAATTGGACTTTACACATGGATTCACACGCAGACATGCACCCCCACACACACCAGCATCTACCCAAGCACTTCTGTGTGCCTCCCATATACACAGACTTTGGGAACTTGACTCGGGTGGTACCTCGTCTCACCCTTAGGAATGGTAGTTGATGCTGCACCCTGGGAATATTGTCATTCTCAACTCTGGGAAGGAAGGGGGTCTTCAGGGACAAAGTATCTCCCAGTCAGAAGAACATACAAAGTGCAAGGTTCCCTTACTAAGTGGCTGTTGCCCTGAAAATGGTCCTGGTATGGATAAACAAGTGGACCTTCCACTCCTCTGACACTGAAATCCTATGTGCATCCTGATGCCTTCTCTGCCAAATTCATAAAACAGTTTCTGCCACTTGGCTTTTCTTTCTGCAGGTGCCTTAAGTATGTGTGCCTGCATGAGTGTGTGTGAAAACACAGCACAGCCAATCACCTTACCTGGAGATGTATATTATGCTATATATAATTTGTTTGTTCTTCAAAGGCAATGACAAACAGTGGAGCCCATTTAAATGAAAAGCTCTCAAAGATTAGGGAGACATTCTTTCCTCCCCTCTTGGTGGCTTCTGAGTTGCTGAGGGTGGCTTCTTTTATCTGCTAGCATCTATGCTTGGAAGAAAGCCTAGAGACCTGTCCTCAGGATATTTTTGTGTTTCACTTGCTGTTGATCCCATGACAGGGCAATTATGCTATTCACCTGTCCTAATTTCTGGGCCTCTGCCCCCAACTGGCCCCTCAATAGTCCAAGCATTTGACTGTTTTCAATTTTTTCATAGTCCATTATGGAAATTTTGAAACACATGAAAGCAGAAAGTGTGCTACAATGTAATCAGTGCACTCCATGTACCCATTAAGCTCAAGAGTCATCAGCTTCAACAATCATTAACTATTTTCAAATCCTGATTCATCTTTCCTTCATCATCATCCCCGCCTCCTGGGCCCTGCTGAGGAGCCAAG